ACTGTTAGTTTTTCGCTGATTTGGGGACCTAAAAAGAAATTCAATTATTTATAACAATTTTTTTTTACCAAAAATTGTATAATTTAATGATAATAAAATGAATTATTGATTTTCGTCGCAAGTATACTATCTTTTAACACTATATCTATTAGCAAAGGTTTCGTGACATGACTCTTCGTAAAAATTGCATTGTACTCAATCATTTGATATATTTTTCATTACAATAAAAGCAATATTATTCTCTGTAATATCCTGTGTTTATATTATTAATTCATCCGTCCTTATTAGCTTTCATCCTCGTTTTGATAGTGTCCTTTTTTATCCTAGTCTTTAACTTCTCTTGCTGTTTTTCAAGGAGTATCATTTTATTGACAGATGGTGTCAAACGTTATTTCTGGCCTCTATGATCCCTGATTTGTCTTTTCGTGTACATCTATATGTAAATAATTATGATATTTATAATCATAGACATTAAAAAATGAGAGAAAGTCGTGGACCGATTCACCTCTCGGTTTGATTCGAACAGCCCCGTTTTCTAAGAATTTCAAAGTGAATACGGTGAATGAACAAAATACAATAATAATCTAAAGTACATTAAAAACTGAATTTAGGCACCTTAAAGACTAATACTAATCAGTACACAACTTCGTTACGTTTGCTTCGATTTTAACACGTATTGGTGGCAAAGAACGGTTTGAAACAATTGAAGATGTATTGGATTAAGTGTAGGGAAGGTATATGAAGGAATATGAACGATCAGCATGTTGATTTCTATAACAACGTAACAAATACATCCAATATTCTTATTTTTAACCGTTTCGCCCCGTGATTCCATCCGCCTCGATCTATCCTAATAACTAAAGTTTAGAATAGTCCAATGAATATTGCACATTAATACTGTACATTGTAATTAAATTTGCGAGAATTGTAAAATTTTATCACGTTTGTACAAGAAAAAATATGGGAATATTCGTTTACTAACACAATATACGACTACCGTGATTTCTCAATCTTTTTTTCAACGCAGCGATCTACGTACCATGTAAAAAGTTATTTTATATTTTTTATTTATTTTTGCACGTGAACTCATCTACTCTTACATAACATATTCTTGGTTTGGTACTTTTTTCAGTTGCTTTTTATATGTTTATCCCTTTTTCAGAATAATATTTTGTATCATTTGTTACAAATTATGCGTAGCTTGATTTCATCTATGTAAGTAAGTAGTTCTAATGTCCATCGAAATATTGAAACTGTAATTCCATTTCATTTCTCCGTTTATTTTGTTATATCTTCATCTTAAGCAAAAATAATGTATTCTTTAGTCGTCTTATGACTATTTGTAGTGTTATGAAATTCTTGAGAAATATAGTAATAAAAATAATAATTTTTCACAAAACTGCACCTGGTTTTCATTTATAAATTAAAAAATTGTTAATTAACAATATCGACTGCAACTGTCAACGACATCGTCATATAACACGTAGTAATTTGCAAAAAATAAATATATCAAACAATTCACTTTCCCTTTACTAAACATTCACCACTGTTATCATATTACCTACGAATATTCATTCAATACTGCAAATTTATTCAATTGTCCCACCTATACTGAAAACGTGTAAAATAAATTGCCGATTTTTACCTCAGCAACAATTTGCAGACCTATGTAAATTAGATATTTTCATATTAATGAATGCTTTTTTCCAAACACCTTGCATGCTTCAATGTCGATCATTTATGTAGTCCGTCTGTCTGAGACATCAAGGCGAGCGTATTTAATAAATTCAGAAATCGCGCGTCATACATACTCATGCTGATCGACCTAGTCGTATCTTCTCTCATTAACTGGTACGTTTAATATGCAATTAGGATATTACGATGGGGGCCATAGTTTCCGCGCAGCATGACATTATAAGCATTCCAGAAATGCTGCCAGGGATAATCGTACGAAGACAATCAAACGAATATCGTACATACCTGGAAGGAACGATGGTGCGGATGATGAGGATGGTGAAATTGTGGTGTGTGAATCATGTCGCCAGTCTCAGGATCCTCGCACCTGGATGACTTCGCGACCTCGACGTTGCTCGAGGTGGTAATAGCCGTTTCACCCTTTGCACTCGTAGACTCTTCGGCGACGTCCTCTTTCTTCTTCTTCACTTCCGGCTTCGTTTCCTGCGTAAGTATCCTTTTTATTGCGACCATTGATGCCATTGTCATAGCCTCATCAAAGACAAGTGTCCACGAGAAATTCTGACAAGTCTCGCGTTACTTTCTATCACGAACGAACACACATTGCAGTTAGGTCCATTTCTCTTGCGTTTAAAGAGGACTAGACAATTTATTTAATATTCTAATTTGTATTTTTATGTTATCCATTCAGTATCTTTACGAAAACGAGAATATTTGTCAGCCGTTTAAGTACCACGGGTCTTTGTAACAACTCGATTGAAAAGTGCCAAACGGCGCGATCTTGCTTCTTTCGTTTCAGCTCAAAAATTGAATTACTCTTTCCTATTTTTACATTAAAAGATTCTCAACAGTGCGATCATTTCATTTCTCGATTTTTAAGCAGATAATAACAGAAATAGAATTAACTGATCAGAAGGAAGACAAATAAGAAACTTTTAATAAGAAACGTTTAGTAAGTGATAACATTGAAACAAATATAAACGAAAATAAGAAAGAAATAAGGAAGACAAATAAATAAACTTAATATGATTCTACGAACCGATAGGCTGGCACTTTTAGGTAGATGTAACGAAGAAACGCGATCGCGCTGCTTGGCAATCAAACGGTTAATAATGAAACTTGTCAGGTCTATGAAAATCTCTGAATTTATAAGACAATTACATACATCGACATATTAGTAGCAACAATGTATACAATTAAAAGCGAAATTGTTATTCATTTCTTGTTTTGATGTTACCCTAGAACAAACTTATCGCATTAATTAAATTATATGTTTAATTATTTCAAAAACGGTTAGTTCAAATTTAAAAATAAAGAAACAAATTTTAATGTTACTTTATGTTTTATGTAACAATTATATGTAAACAATATGACATTTGAATTTACCGAGAATACCACAATATCACCCTGTTGATAGTATATATTTAAAGAGTCTTCGAAGTTGAATTCTTTCGATAAAATTATTTAACGTTATTTCTCTGTAACTATTAAGTTCTATAGTTGGATATTACTTAATTCTACGCTTAAATACAGTTTACTGTTAGCGAGCATGCAAAATGAATTCTATAAATTGAAATGATAACAAATAAAAGTAAGTTAATTAATTATATTTCCTAAACGCTTAACGAATTATTGTACGAGTTAATAATATTTATTTCTTTATAAATATGACTTCTTGTATTTAGCATTACATTCATTATCATCGAATGCCGTACAGATTTCTATACAAATATTACTACTGTGTTCAGTAGGAAAAAATAATACTAAAATGTAACGGTACTAAGTAATAAGTACTTAATTAAAAATTTATATTCTCCTTCCTCTGAGTTAAATATAATAGGGTAGACCAGGACGAATCGGATAAAAATAAGAATGTTGGCCATATTTATTACGTTGTTATAGAAATGAGCATGCTGATCATCCATATTTCACACACTGTCCACATATTCCAGGGTGAATCGAAGATTTCTCATTTTTCAGTTTTTTTGCTTATAAAACGAAGGTTTTTTTAGTTTTTTAATAATTTTGTTACTGATATTGAAGCTGAATTTTTATTAATAAGAAATGTATGAAGAAAATGTTGATTCTAATTTTCAACTATTAGTTTTTCGCTGTTAAATCTGAACTGATCCGATTCACCTCGGTCTAACTTCTAAGGAAACAGAAATTTGGCATAGCCACGATGAAATTCAATATATAATAAATTTAACTCTTTGTGGTTGAAAACCACCGTAACGACAACTTGTAGCTTTAATATCGAAAAATAGAAGTTGCAAATGAATAGTTTAATTATTTAAATAACGAGAGATTGTTATAAGGTTTTCTTTTTTTCCAACATTTAAGAGTTTCATGCATAATTTAGGTTTCTACAGAAAGAATTTTTAGATGATTAAAAAATACTCATTTCCATAGAATTGATGTTACGTAAACGTCAGATCTACAATGATGAATTTGATCGACAGTTTGAAATACAAACAAGGTATGGCGATTGTTTCATATTACATATTTTTGTTAGAAACCTTGTAAAAAAGCATTTATATATTGTTCGGAATATCATATTTTCATCTTTACTTTTAGTTATACAGCAGACTACAGAAAGCTTACGTGAAAACCAACAGAACACTATGCATCCAACAGACATGATTGTTAATAGAATTAATGGATAGTCCAGATGGATCGAACTTGAAACTGTTAATGTATGAAATATTCGTTAAGTGTCAAACGTACTTCTGTTTGAGCCTCATCGAGGCCGACAAGCTGAAGCGCTTCCTCGAGACTGAATCCGTCGGGAAATTGAAGAGTGTCGTTGTTGAGGAGACCTTCGACACTGGCACTTCCTAAGAGGCCACCTCCGAGTAGGTCCGAAGGAAAATCATTCTCTAGTTCTAAGGTGTCGGTTAATCCCAAAGAATCATCGGCTAATCCGGCCAATGGATGATTGTCTAAATCCAGTGACGTGTCTCTAAGAAGTTGATCGTCTTCGTCGGCTGTGTTGCTTCCGCTTCCTCCTTGATTGCCGGAACTGAGGATATATTCACCTGTAACACGCGGGAATATGCAACTATTAACAAAACAATTCTTCAAAAATATTTGAAGTCGAAACAGCGAGAACATTGTTCAACGTTAAAAGAAGTATTATTCGCGTTCCTACCTATCGAGACTAATAACAACTTTTGTTCTACGTAGAACTTACAGAAGGAGTGCACACGAATAAATTATTGGTTGACGAAACGTAAGTAAGCGTAAACAGGTTTGCGTGCACAAGTACGATTCACAAGGATTATTTAAAACCATTTAATTGTTCCTAGAACTGCATGGCACGCGATGGACTACATTCTTCGATTGTTAGATCCTATGTTCTGCAGTTTCAGCGACTACCACTTATAATGCGCTACCGGTAATAATTATTTTCATGTACGATACATTGTAGCCTTCGCGTCGCCACTAAAATTCATAATTTTCCTAGAGTCTCGAATACAAGGTAGTATGTGAATGAGCTGGCGAACATCCCGTTTCCTATTGAATTTGTATTTTCAAGCATTTCGAGAAAAGTTAGATTACCATGAACCTGTTAACTGTGGAATTTAGTTTAAAAAATCTCCCTTTTCCCGCGCAATAAAATGAACAAATGAAATGTATACTTCGACGAACGCAGGACGAATGCATCTGAGGTATATTTTAATGAAAAACCAAAACAAAACGACGAAGAATTACACGTTTACTTGAAAAAATAAAGAATTCATCGTTGAAAGAATCAGTATCATTTGAAACTTTAAGATGACGTGTATACTTGTCGAACGCAGTCAACTGTTCAAAAATTTTTCTATGAATATTTTTTACCCGCACTTTACATCGTACAACGTCGATCCCAAGATTCCGTATTTTTCAAACTGTATCCTAGATAAAGTATCGCACACAAGTCCCACTGAACTGCACATAAAGTCACGAGTTGATTCGCACACCACCAGTGTACGGAACGTTCACAGATCGATCGATCGACTCGAACGCGCACAGGATTGTTTATAAACTCGAAGTCTCTAAGACGAATTTGTTACGTATCGGCTTCGAATACGGGTGGAAAAATTAAGAATAAAAATCATTCTAGGATGATTCGACTAAACCGGATTCACTGTGACTCGACTAAAGCTGTCCATTCCGAGGCGCGGCACTTGAGAACTGACTGCGGCCGACGGACAGGTAAAATTTTGGAGGAGGGACAGGAAAGGAAAAAACGTAACTAATTGAGGGACAAAGGGGTGTTGTTGAAGATCCACCTGCTGGTCTGAACAACCCCCCAATGTTCCCGCCCCACGGCCAATCGCGCGTCCCCATTTCTACCCTACTTCATCCCTCACGCACGCTCCGAACACAGCCTGGCTGGATCGCGCGCCTCTCCGTCGCTCCTCAAACACGCAACACGATATCCGTACAGCACAAAGGTGGAACAGAAATTTCCAGTATTTTTTATTGTTAACTTTAATAATTTAACGCTGCAATGAGTTCAAGGCAAACTTGGTTAAAACTTAATAAAAATTGCAGGCTGGTTTTAAACATTACGGTATCGAATACTGTATCTCTACTGGTTTATAAAATATTCCCTTTTCGAAGTAATTGAAAATTAAAGTTACGAAAATGTGATTCGTATTTAACTCTCAGCGTTTTGAACGTTTACTTCGACTCAAATTTCAGTGGAGTATTTAAAAACTCGAAGTTTTGATTTGCGAGGGAGAAATAATAAATTTTCTTTCTATAATTCGTTTTACTCTGATGCAAATAAAAGTGCAGATTTACAGTTTCGAATGCTGTATACGATAGTTGTGAAACAAATTACGCATGCCGACATAACGGAACCAATAGGGTTATGGAATAGACATTACGGAGCGTTTTTGTAACGAAGGCGACGGAGTACAAATGGTTAATACCGATTTCCGATTTGCAACCGTATCCAGAATTCAGCGAACGTCTTTACGCTAATTAGATTGATCTTAAAGAAAAACGGAAAAAAATAACTCAAGACGGACCCCGAAATTTCGACTGTCGAAATGATCTTTTTCCTTTTTTCCTGCAGTACGATGTTATTAGAGATAACAATCTCATAAAATAATAACTCTTAGAAGGCTGTTCGGATGCGGACAGGTCGGTCGAACTGAACGACAGACGGGTCGACAAAAGAAGAAGAGGTTTTTGGTTCTTTTGCTGGTCGTCAGTGCGGTACCTTGAGAAAGGAAGATCGCACCTTTGGAATGGCTATTACATTAACTAGTAGTGGCGGCCATTGTCTGGTCCAAATGCGGGGCCGACCGCGCGATAATGGCCGCCTTTAATTTGGGAACTCCGAGCATTCCCCTCCGTAGAAGGCATCGAGATTTCATTTTGAAAAAGCCGCAAGAAATTATCAACTGACTTTTTTACGTAGCAACTTAATCATGAGAAATATAATTTGAAATATGTAATAAGAAGGACGAAGAATAACTTGCGTACCATTAAACTGATTCCGTAAATATTGAACAATACGAAATTCATTTTTTTGTCAGAAATTTCTGTGTAATGTGAAATACCCACCATCGTGAGTATATATTGAAAATAGATTAAAAATACAAGTTAAATTATAATCATAAATCTTGATCAACTATTTTTCTAAACAATATTTTAAGGACTGCCATATATCGCAATAAAAATTCAGTGTTATTGTGAAATTCTTACATTCTGACATTTTACTGTCCACCTGCGATTAAAAGAATATAATTTTTACACTTGGATCAACATTTACTGACAGTACAGTACCGTAACGATATATAAGTTAAATTCATAGTAAACCGGTTACGAAAACAGGAATAAAAGTTGGAAACGCTTTGTACTTCGAGTTACGATCAGTAGAGTATTCTGTAGTTTCCTTTATTCGCGTATTCTAAGGTGTTGCATACTTTCAAAACGCTAAGCGAAAAGCAAACGTCTCTGGGGGATGAATCTCTTCCGCGAGGGAATTCGCTCGATCACGGCGCATCTAATGGCACGGTTCTCAATCTTTTTTGATTCCACGGCTTCTTTGAACTCGCGGCTGGCTTTTTCACAGAACACGGGAACGTCGACAGATCATTTCTCACATTTCGCGCGCGCCTAACGACCATTTTCTTTTCTTTCCAGCTTCCCTGTCCCGTCGCGGCCCTTCTTCGGATAATAATTCCTGCGTTACTCGACAAAATTTTTGGACCAGTGACCCTTCCCAACGAAACACCGAAAAGGTGCCTAACGTCTGTGCCTCTAATACCATCCACTTCCTAGTGCCTGGTGCACGAATGCTCCGATACGAGACGGAAAGAATCCTCCGGCTCGAATGCGCCAGCACGATTGTCCTATCCCCGGATGATAAATATATCGAAGCAAATCTTATTTGCAGCCCTCGACAGAAGGGTGACAATGTCCTGCGCCGACACGCTTCTAACGTCGTTTGACGTCTCATTTTCCCCGATTGCTTATATGCCGGACGATGCACGTATTTATCTAGCTCCGCGTCACCTGGTACAACTACAGTTTCAGCCATGATTGCGGTCATTGATTCTTGTTTCTACGCTTATTGTTGCCGTTGACCGGTGTCGGAACGCTCCGTTGGACCTCGTTTAACAGGATATATTGACTGAGTAAGGTGAAGCTTATTTCAATAACCCTTGTATCGGGAAGCTTGGGATTCAGGACCGTTCATAAATTCATAGAAAATCTTTTATACTGAAAAAGCGTGCATTTTCGAGTCTTCGATTTATAAATTATGTGGTTAAGTTAGGTATATACTAAACTTATTTGCAGGTGCATTGACGAATGTATTATAGAAGTACGTTTGTTAGAAGTATATATTCTACAGGGCAGTTAGAAGTTAATCAAGAATCACGAATGCTATACGCATCTCTCATTGGACGCCATTTTGAACATCTGTTACGAAGCGATGCTTAAAATAAGAAACGGAAATTGCTACTTTTATAGAAAACAATTTTGTCTTATTCTCAGGATAACATCTCTTAATTCGCAGTTAATTTGCGGTGACTAAGTACAACAGTTAATTAAAATATAATGAAAACAAAAATAACAAGAACGGTATTCCGTGCCACTTCAAGCAATACAATTGCTCTTTTCCCTAATAATGATATTTCTAATTAATACCTACTTCAGTTTTGTTCTTTGCGTACGCTGTCGATTAATATACTCCCACTATCTTATCGCAATACGACGATTGCACAATGTCTAAACTACAAGTACTTAATAAGCACCTTACACAATTCAATCACTTTGTGACTTAGCAAAATTACTTCATCTTAAAGTCGCACAGGATTTCTTGCTTTTAGTTTAGAATAATTGTATAATAAAGAATATTTCTTCACCCAAACCTATTGCTATTGTAACAGCATTTATAACGTATGATACGATTTTCGAATACTATATGAAAAGTTTGCAAATCTACATCTCGTGAATATTGAATACAAATAAAAAAAGTTGAAAGAAATTTAATTCCAAAATCAAATTAGTAAATATTCATGCTACATTTTCTTTAAATATGTAACTATCTGTTATTAGATAACTATTTGAATTTATCCACTACCGTCGGACTGACACGATAATGATCAAGAGCTAAGTCCGATTATGAAATATGCAAAACACTTTCATGTATCATCACGTTGTACGAGATTACCGTAAAAACGATTGTAGATCACTGAATAAATGAATAAATAAATATTATTCCGTAGAATGTATACAGAACGCTCCATTTTTAACAAAATACAAACGTCTACTGTAAAATTGGTCGTTACGGTAAGCAATCGTTCAAATAATTTGTTTACAGACCCAGGCATTCAAATGCTTCGAATCAACGCGTTCTTACTCCAAGGAAATTATAATACCTCCACCGTCATACCTCAGAATATGCAATCCGTGTTACATGTAATCCACAATACGACCAATGAATAACGAACACAAGTACATCACAGTTTCACGCGTAAGTCACTGAAATTGCAAACAACAAGTATCGCAGGCTCCGACGTTGCACTGTACA